ATCTAGCTTAAGGCATGCTGAGTTCAAATTGCAAGGTTATGGACATGTAACTTGGTCATGAACAAAGTGAGTTTTTGCCATATTGTGAAATTCGATTCTCCCTAACCATGAGGTTCTTTGAGAAGTTCTTGGACATTTTGGAAAGCTTGGAATGTGTACTACAAACCATCTTTGAAATGAAAATTGAAATTCCAAGTGGAAGTGTATAGAAAATGGTCTTGAAGTTAGGTAAAAACTTGTCCAAAATAGGTCAAATTTTCACTAAGTTAAGAATGGTTTAGTGCCCTTATTCAAAAATTTGTAACTTGAGATACAAGCCTCATTTGGGAAAACTTTGTGAATCAAAGTTGTAGATTATGCAACAAGCTACAACTTTCATGTTTTGACTTTTGTTTGAATCCAAATGAATCTTGGTGAAAAAGTGGGTCAAAGTTGGGGAAAAATTAGGGTTTTCCATAACTTAGAAAAATTCTAAGTTATGAAAAATTCCATTTCAAACCCTAATTTGCATTTCTTGGTTTCTTGGTGAACAAGTTTCATGATTTGGCATGTTTTGATGAAAAGTGAATCTTGACACTTGATTTTGACCAAAAAGTCAAAGTTTGACTTTTCAGTATAGAGTCAAAATTGATCAATTGACTGGGAAATTCAACTGTCAATCTTGTGTACTTGAGATCTTTTGAGCTTGTTGAGAATGTCAAGACAATTCCATGGGGTCCTTGAGTCCATATGTGTGCTTGGTTTGCCATTGGCTAGGTCAAACAGTCAAAAATTGCCTTTGTGCAGTCAAAACCCTAAAAATGACCATTTTGCCCTTTTGATGATCTGATCAAATTTCTTGTGGATTTGTGATCCAAACTTGATCAAATGGTCCATGTGAGTTCATAATGTTGATGTGGGTCAATTTTCATGAGATTTGACTGTTAATTGGCCACAGTTGACTTTTTCCCCAATACAGCTGATTTTTAGGTCAACTGTCCAATTGACTGGGTAAAACTTGGGATCAGGACTTGAAACTTGGTATGGGTAAACTTGGGAGTCCAACATGAAGCATGAAAGTCATCTTAGGCATTTTAGGTCAAAACATCTTTGTGCAAACACAAACCCTAATTTGGGTCAACAGTGTAAGGAGAAGTCTTGAGTAGAGGAAACCCTAACTGGATCTTGATCTTCAAAGGTCTGGTGATGAGAAAATGTTGAGGAAATGGGAGGGCAAATTTTGGGGTACAACACACCCCTAGGGTTTCTCCCACTTGGTTGCCTAAATTAAAATGGCCATGTTACGCATGCGAAGTATCTTAGAAAAACAAAACAAGAATAAGATCATAGTCCCTCGATGACGCTATACAAAAGTTGCCTAAACAAAATGATCTTGGTCCCTAAAAAATACTAAGATACTTGGCAACATTGCTATCATGGTTATACGATGACCCACGCCCGTCCCGTTTACATCCAAAGATAAGTTTGCTTACCAAATAAATGGTAAGTCAACAATATCAAAGGAATAAAAATACACAAGAAAGACATTTGAGTAGGTAGATAGCTTCTAAGTTACTTACTCATTTTCAAAACAATCCTTGCTATTTTCAAAAACAAGCACACACACATTTCAAAATATCTTATAAAACATTGAAAACATTTTCAAAAGACAAACATCTTTATATACATTCTTACGAACGAGAATCATTACAAAGACTTCCTAAACGAATGACCTCTTTTACAAAATACTTTCAAAACCACACCAAACACCATTTCAAACAAAACAAAGTCAGTGATCTAAGCAAGTAACTAAGAGCCCATGGAAAACCATGGGTGAAAAGGGTGCTAGCACCTTCCCTTTTCATAATCTACCCCCCGAACTCAAGAAAACATCTCAAAGGTCTTTCCTGTGCTCTTTACCTTTCCTTTTGGATAAAATAAAAGTAGGTGGCGACTCTTACTAACCGCAACATTTGCGAACACAAACGCAAAACCTCAAGTCAGTTCTCCCACCGCATCACAGAACTGGCGACTCTGCTGAGGAATATTCTAAAAGTGGGGTTACCTTAGGGTTTAGATCACATTTATTTGCTTACATTGTTTGACTTGTTTGCTTTACAATTATGGTTCTTTGTTTGGGTTTGAATCCTCCACCCGGATTTGGGAAACATTATAGGTTAATAGCAATACATTATGGAAACTGTGCGGGGTATACCGACATGGTCTAAGCAATAGCTATATTAGTGTGACATATTTGTGGGTACTGGTAGCCTTTGAGTCAATCAAAGAGAATACGGGGCTGCTGAGTGATGTCATGAAGCACTAATGAACTTCTAGAACCTTTACTTGACCAACTTGGCCTTTTAGGATGTAGTGAGATGACCAGCTTTGGTGCAGTCCAAAGTTGGTAGATACTCGATACTATACTCATTAAGGGTTGGTTTCTTGGGATATTTCGGTCGCTATTAAAGAGGCTTGAGCTGAAACAATGACCAAGGAAATAATCCAGTGATATTGAGCTCCTTAGAACCCGGTTAATATTTTTAGGACAGGTTGAGCCAACTAAACTTCAAGAGGGTACTTACCTATGAAACCCCATGCAAGCCTAAACTAAGAACTTGCTTGATTTGCTTGTACATATATACTTGTGCATAAACATCATGGACATCATGAACATCATATGCATCCACTAACCATTTCAAGGATTTTGGAGATTCATCTTTGTTCTTGTTTTGTAGGTTATGGATTCACCTCGCAAGAAAACTATCCAAATCAACCTTGTAAGAATTCCTCCACAACTCAAGGAGCTAGCTTCAAGGATCCCTGAGAACTCTCCATTAACCGAGAGACATGGTCGTCTACTCAATTTGGTCACTTCCAACACAAAGGAGGATATGATGAAGGTTCTCTTCCAGTTCTTTGACCCTTTGCATCATTGCTTCACATTTCCTGGCTATCAACTTGTGCCCACTTTGGAAGAATTCTCTCAAATTCTGAGGATTCCTATTCTCAATCAACTACCTTTCAAAGGTATGGAAAGAGATCCAAAGCCAGAAGAGATTGTTCAAGCCCTGTACTTGCACTCCTCTGATGTCACAACTCATTGGGAAACTAGAAGTGGTGTCAAAGGCTTCTTGGCAAAGTTTCTGTTTGAGAAAGCCCAAAGATGTTGGAATTCCCTAGACTTACAAGCTTTTGAGGAGATTGTAGCTCTTCTCATCTATGGGATGGTTTTGTTCCCTAATCCTGACCAACTCATAGAAGTGAGCGCTGTCAAAATCTTCATGTCTCGCAACCCGGTGCCTACATTGCTTGGGGATATCCTACACTCTTTTCACACTCGTACAATGAGGAAAAGAGGTGTTCTTATGTGTTGTAATCCTCTCTTGGAAATATGGTTTATTTCTCATCTTCCCCAATCAGTCTTGAAGAATGAGCAAGGTTTGAGGTGGTCACAAAGGTTAATGACGCTTAAACATTCAGATATTCATTGGTGTTCTCGATCCAAAGAGAATGTTACCATTGTTGACCGTTATGGGGAATTCCCTAATGTCCATCTACTTGGAATTAGGGGAGGCATCACCTACAACTCATGCTTAGCTCTAAGACAGTTAATTTTTACATCTTTATTTTATTTAATATATTTTATTATAAATTTCATATTTATGAAAAGATGAATAAATTAATCAACCTACTTTAAAAATAAATGTATGAGTTAATTTATTTTTAAATCATTACAAAACATTATTATCTTCTAAATTAAATTAATATTTATATGAATTCATAATTTAAAATATTTTTTCTTCTTAATTTATATATCTTTTATATATTTTTTTTAATCATCACTATATTATATTTATTTATTATTTATAACAATATTGCATGATGTGTGTAATAAACACGTAACTAGACGAGAATTTAATTATTTCATTTATTTTTTTAATCAAAATATATATTTTTGACATATCAAAACTATTTAATTTGTATATTTTTTATATGCACTTTTAAGTATCAATATATCATTTATAACAATATTGCGCGACCTGTGTCGCAGGGAAAGATGACAATTTAATTATTTCTTTTATTTTTATTATTAAAAATAAATCTCAATATTTATATATAATACCAATTACAATTTTTATTATTATTTATAATAAAGTAGAATACATCCATATATTATATTTATTTATGATTTTTTAACCACACTACCCGACTGTTCTTTACTAATTATCATGAAAATTAGTATAATATATTCAACTTCAAAAGAAAAAATAAACTCTATTTATGACATTCAAACGAAGAAAAAAAGAATTTCATATTTATTATAAAAAACCAATCTAAATCAACTCGTTATTTTTCAGTTTGATTCAGTTTAAATTTTATCAAAAAATGTAAAAATTCAATTCATTTGTTTTTGATCGATTTAGTATTAGATTCTCTCAAAATTGAATCAAATCGATCCGCAAACATGTTTAGATATAAGGTAAAGTTTTTTATGAAAGCCATTAGAAATTCCAAATAAATGTTGTAAAATCAATCGATCCAATTGTACAAAATATATAAATATCCATTGTGTAATGCTTGCTTTGTTTTACACTAAAACAATGGTTATAAAACTATTGTTGTTGCCAAGAAGTTTAACATTTCTAAATTTTTTTGTTTGACCGGACAATAAATATATTAATACATTTCCCATATTCGTCAACTATAATATATTAATACATTTTATATTCAGGTCTTCATCACAACTCACATTTTTTTTCAAGAAAAGAAAGAAAAAAAAGTGTGTGAAAAAAAAATGTGTCTAAAGTATTATTCAATCAAGCCTAGCAGATAAAACAACATTTTCATAGGTGTTTACCCAATCAAAAAACCAATACCACTTTCTCTCTCATTTCTTTTCAATTTACTTTTTTTTCTTTTTTCTGCCTATAACTTCTTTCACAAAATCGTGTATAAAGATTGAGAAATTGTTTTCTCATTCAAAACAGAAGATTTCTGTTTCAAAGGGGAAGGTGAGAATGAAAGCAAAGATCTTAAAATTATCAAAAATGTTGACCAAAAAAGGTAAAGTGAATAAGGAAGAAGCACCTTTGGATCTTGTAGAAGCTTTTTTCAAGTTCTCCAATGGTGAAAACCACATGTCAAAGGATCAGCTACTTGGATTCATGGTGGAACATCAAGGAGAACAAAACTGCACCTTATTGGATTTGGAACCAATCATTGAAAAGGTTTTGCAAATGGGAAGTTCAAGTTCTAGCATTGAAACTAGAAATGCTCAAGGACTTAGTATTGATGACTTTGTCAATTTTTTGCTTCTTGATGATTTCAACGGTCCCTTAAAAGATGAGGTATGCACTTTCTACTTCTATTTTTTTTATTCACAAAAAATCATTTGATCAATGTGGCTATCAATTTCTGATTTTATTTGTCAAATTTGATTGCTTGCCAAATCGTTGATGACTAGGAATAATAATTAATTGGTCAACAAATCTATTTTTAACTAATATGATAATAAATTTCCCTACCTAACTTTAAAATAAAACGAACAGGATAATATAAATTTTTAGCATTTTAACTTAGAATTTTTAGGATTCAATTAAAATTTATTTATTTTAATTTTTTTTAAGAGTTAATAGTCATTTACTGGCGAGTTTTAATTTATGCACTTTAAAAAAAATTGATACATTCTTAAAATATTAAAATTCTAAGTTTTTTTGTCTCCTAGGTATAAATATTACCTCCTTTAAAAAATATATATTTTTATTTATCCCTCGTTTTTACACGTTTAGGGTATCCAAAAAATTACTAATCAAAATTTTCTTTTTAAAGAGAGTAAATCAAAACTCGCAAATGACTATTAATCCTATTTTGAATAAAATATTAAAATTATTCATTATTAAATTTTTAGAGTTATTTTATAAAATTTAAAAACAAGAATAATTTTCAATTTTTAAAAATTTAAAAGGACTAATTTGTAAATTTTAAAAATTATTAAAGACTAATTTATAGTTTTTTAAAATAATTTTGTGATCAACTTGCTAAATTTAAAATGATAATAATAACTATTTGACACTCATGTTTTATAAAGTATGAGAAAATTTTCACAATTTTTTATTTTAGATGTCATTTTTAAATTATTAAATTTAACTCGACAAAATAATTTATAAATTTTCATCATTTTTATGTGTTTTTCTATTTGTTTATCCAAAATTCCCTTAATCTCTCTGTGGTTAAAATATTACATCCAAAGACACTCTCAGAGTCCTAATGACTATATAAATTGTAGAGAAAAATGTATGAATGGTATGAATGCAAATGCAGGTGCATCATGATATGGAAGCTCCATTGTCACATTATTTCATGTACACAGGACACAATTCATACCTTACAGGAAATCAATTAACTAGTGTGAGTAGTGATGTGCCAATTATAGAGGCTTTGAAACAAGGTGTACGAGTTATTGAACTTGATTTATGGCCATCTTCTACTAAAGATGGTGGTATTAAAGTTGTTCATGGAAGGTATCTACTACTACTACTACTAGGCCACATATATAGAGTTCCATGATTGCTTTCTTAATTACATTATATCTTTTGCTTTTAATTCTTGCAGGACTCTTACCACTCCAGTTGCACTAACCAAATGTTTGGAATCCATAAAGAAACATGCCTTTGTCAAATCTGATTTTCCAGTCATTCTCACTTTGGAAGATCACCTAACTTCAAAACTTCAGGCTAAATTTGCACAAGTAAGCACTTTTTGTCAATCGACCTCTCAAACAGACAACACGTAGACATTGGTACTAATTTAAGAAAATAGAAATGAGTTAATGTAAGTGTTTGTTGTCCATGTGTCTGTGTTGGACACCAGACGCGACTTTCAATCTAAAGTGTTTGTGCTATTGCATATTCGTAGTGATTTCTTTTTTCTATTGATGCAGATGGCGATTCAAATATTTGGAGAAATGCTCTATTGTCCCAAGACAGATTATTTAACAGAATTTCCCTCACCAGCCTCCCTCAAAAATATGATAGTTATATCAACTAAACCACCAAAGGAATCTCCTCAATCAGAAAGAGCCACACATGATGTGTCAAATGGAAGTGAATCTTCTGAAGATGAATCATGGGAGTTTCAAGATTCTATGGCTAAACTGAAAACTATTGACAAGGTGACTGAATCATATATATCCATAATTTCATTTTTCGAGAAAAGAAATCTGATTCGTTGTTCCATGGCACGCAGAATGTAAGTGATGAAGAGAAGCTAGAAGATATAAGCACAAGTGATTACAAAGCAAACCAACAAAGTCCGCGCGGATACAAACATTTGATTACAATCCATGGTGGAAAATCACATGGTACAATGAAGGATAAACTAAAAGTTGATGGTGGTAAAGTTAGAAGACTAAGCTTGAGTGAGAAGAAACTCAAAACTGCTTCTGAATCTCATGGACCTGACCTGATTCGGTACCTGTCAAACTTACTTGATGATTAGCATTTCTACAACTGATAACATTCATGAAATGCTGAATTAAACTTACCATATATGGCTTCACATGCATTGTTATGGTTTCTAGGTTCACACAGAAAAATATCCTCAGAATTTTTCCTAGAGGAGAACGCGTTCATTCCTCGAATTTTAAGCCACATTTAGGGTGGATGTATGGAGCTCAGATGGTTGCATTCAATATGCAGGTTAGATTATGATACTGTGGCCGTTGCAGTCGCAAACCTATTTCACCTATTGAGACCTTTTTTTCTATGACAGGGTCATGGCAAATCGCTCCGGTTGATGCAAGGGATGTTCAAAGCAAATGGAGGGTGTGGTTATGTGAAAAAACCTGAATTTCTAATTCAAGAAAGTGCACATTTTGATCCTAAAAAAACACTACAAGTGAGGCAGATACTAAAAGTAAGTGTAAACTTAATCACTTAACTAATAAAAAATTATGTTGTTTCAATAAATATTTTCATGTTTTTCAACAGGTAAAAGTATACAAAGGAGTTGGCTGGAGATCAGACTTCAGTCGAACGCACTTCGACCGATTCTCTCCACCAGACTTTTACACAAAGGTCAGTAATTACTCAGTTGCATAATTCTTCACACATACACTGAAATCTGATTTTTGACAGGTTTATATTGTTGGAGTGGGAGCTGATAGTGTGAAGAAGAAAACAAGTGTAAAGATGGACAATTGGTATCCTGTTTGGGACGAAGAGTTCGAATTCCGTTTAACTGTTCCGGAGCTCGCGTTGCTTCGGATAGAAGTAAAGGATAAAGATAAGACAACAGATGATTTTGCTGGACAGACATGTTTGCCTGTAACAGAACTAAAACACGGATTTCGATCTGTTCGTTTGTGTGACTTAAAGGGAAATAAATTTAACTCTGTCAAGCTTTTGCTTCGCTTCCAAATTGAAACTTAAATATATTGTAGATACTTTTAAATCTAACTATAACATTTTTTTGTTTATGAGCATCAGCATCTGAAAGGTCATTGTAATGATTATTAGTATACAAGTTTTAAAGTTCACAGCACAATGATGCTAGACTTGAGACCAGAAAGCCAATGATATTTATATATGTTTGAATATGATGCCATACCCTCTAAATAAGGAAACTTGTGCATGGATCTAGGTGGGAGGGGTCTTTCTTTCCAGCTTCACAAGATGGTGCATACTACCCTTATTCTCCTGCTTTGCTCATTGTTGCCTTTATATATCCTAGTGATTGGTATACAATTATTCATTAAATCTAAAAAGTTGAAATTCATTTATAATATAGAACGGAGGGAGTTTGTTCATTGTTGTCTTTATATATCATAGTGATTGGTATACAATTATTCAATAAATCTAAAAAAGTGAAATTTATTTATAATATTGAACGGAGGGAGTAAGTACTAACGCTTCTTTCATACTTAATGCAATAATTTTTTCACATTGAAGTGTGTAACATTTGGAAAGATTAATATAAAAAGGTATTAGTAGAGTAATATTTTTGTTTCCCGTAGTTATTTCTATCGAACGTAATCTGATTCGAGACACTATAAAATATTAAATATTAAAATCTCATGTACGAAGTATGTTTTCAAGTATCGAGTATATGTTAATTAGGCATCTATTTATATTATGTAATATGTTGAAGTATGTTTTAAAATCTAAAATGATGAAGAGAAAAGATGTATGTTTCAAAATCGCAGAAATTAGAAATTATCTTGGAAGTCGACAAATGCCAACGATGTTGTTCAGTAGGTCGACAACGACAATGATTGGGTTGGTTCCGGCGGAAAATTTGAGTTCGTCGAGTATTAGATTCAGTCTTGATAGTTGTTATGTATTAGACTGATTGTTTCGAGTTGTGGATTAGTTTGTTAATGAGTTATGTTTTGGGCTCATTAAGAATCTGTTGAATTTCATTAGCAATAAATATGTATCTCCATCATTCTTATCCATACAACCTTTAGAACTGTAGAGTTTAAGACATCAAAAGTGTTTGAGAATCCTAGTGGTAATCTTAGAGAGACATGAATAAATTCTAAAGAGCGTGTTCTTGAAATTTGGGAAACCCTTCGTGATATCTAAGGGGGCTTAGGAACGTGAAGATGTAAACAGTTTTAACTAAAAAATATATTGAAGGACGAGACATCAATGGTTGCACGCCTAATAGAAGTAAAGAAGAGCGAGTTAGTGGATAAAACTAGAAGTGTTATTATCTTATACCAATAATGCATAGCAGAGTTGGCAAATGGGTTTTAGCCTTAACAGAATATTCTTTGACTTTCATGCCTTTAAAAGCTGTGAAAGGCCAAGTGATTTCTGATTTCATTGTGGACCATTCATTGGTTGAACAGACTGTCATGAGTTACGTCGAAATGCAACCATGGAAATTATACTTTGATGGTTCGACCCACAGGAATGGAAGTGGTGTTGGAGTCCTTATAATTTCTCCTGGAGGAATTCCAACAAAATTCAAGTATAAATTAGATGATCCTCGTTGCTCGAACAACGAAGCTGAGTATGAAGCGCTTATTGTTGGACTTGAAGCTTTGTTGGAATTGGGGGCAACTAGAGTCGAAATTAAAGGAGACTCATAATTAGTAGTCAAGCAAATAACAAAGGAGTATAAATGCATAAAGGAAAACCTGATGATATACTTCGTCATAGTTAACAGGCTACTTAGAAAATTTGAATACATGGATATTCAACATATACCAAGAATAGAAAACCAAGAAGCAAATGACTTAGCACAGTTGGCTTCAGGTTATAAAGTTTCTGCCTGAAACTTTGAGGATTTAGTTGAATTAAGGGGTAGAGTTATGGCTACTAGATTCACACCATCAGATCTAGAGAGTATGAAATTGGGTTGTGCTGAGAAACAGGGATTCGAAATATTAGCCATAAACACTTTATCAGATGCAGATTGGCGAAGTCCACTTGTGAGTTATTTAACAAACCCAACTCTGAATGTTGATAGGAAGATAAAATATAGAGCATTATCATATGTCCTCATGGGAAACGAATTGTTCAAAAAGACCCAAGAAGGCGTATTACTGAAATACCTAGGAGAAAGTGAGGCATACTTAGCATTGTCAGAAGTCCACAATGGGGCATGTGGGGCACATCAAGCAGGTCATAAAATGAAATGGCTGTTATTTCGATATGGCATATATTGGCCCAGCATGCTCAAAGATTGTATAGACTTTGCTAAAGGTTGTGAAGAATGTCAGAAACATACAGGGATTCAACATGCCCCAGCAAGTGAGTTGCATTCAATCATTAAACCATGGCCATTTAGAGGATGGACATTGGATTTAATAGGAGAAATAAATCCTGCTTCGTCTAAAGGACAGAAATATATCTTGGTAAGAATAGATTATTTTACCAAGTGGATCAAAGCAATACCATTAATAGTTGCTGATCAAGAGGCTATTATTGAGTTCATACATAAACAAATTATCTATAGGTTCGGATTGCTAGAGAGCATAACCACAGACCAAGGTTCTGTGTTTACTGGTAGAAAGATGCAAGAATTTTCTCAAGAAATGGGGTTTAGATTACTAACATCAACGCCATATTATGCTCAAGAAAACGGTCAAGTCGAAGCAGCTAATAAAGTGATAATAGGGTTAATCAAGAAACATATTGGAAAAAAGCCAAGGAACTAGCACAAAACTCTGGACCAAATACTATGGGCCTGTAGAACATCTCCTAAAGAAGCTACTAACACCACGCCTTTCTAACTCACATTTGGTCATGATGCAGTTCTGCCAGTAGAAATTCATCTACAATCAGTTCGAATTCAAAGACAAAACGAAATTCCAGCTGCATTATATTGGGAGATGATGATGAATGAGTTAGTAGAATTGGACGAAGTTAGATTGCATGCATTGGAAATCCTGATGAGACAAAAGGAAAGAGTGGCCAGGGCATATAACAAAAGGGTGAAGGGAAAAGCATTCACTATTAATGACTTAGTCTGGAAAGTCATATTGCCCATGGACAAGAAAAATAAAACGTTAGATAAATGGTCACCTCATTGAGAAGGGCCTTTTCGAATAATAAAGGTATTCTCAAACAATGCATATGAAATCGAAGAGTTGATGGATGATAAACGTATCCTAAAGGTTAATGGGAAATATTTAAAGAAATATAAGCCACGCCTGCAGGAGATTCGAATAATAACAACGTAATCAAAATATCATAAAAATGTCAAAATGGTAATATGGGATTGCCAAAATGGCATTGTTCAGATGTTACATACAAAAAACCAAATTTCAACCAAATCAACACTAAGATTTAGAAATAGACATTATTCTTCAATCTGTTAAAGGTACTTCGAAAAGACTCAAGCCTTTGTTGAGTAAAACGTCTTGCTCCCTCTAAGGTAGCCACTTCTCCTTTGAGTTGTTCTGCAGTTTCCATTTCTGCAAGCCCTTTGTTGAGGAACTCTTCGAATTGGTTGCCAGCAGTATTGGTTTCGTAGGTTAATTGTTGTTCTTGAGCCTCTTTAACCTTCTGTTGAAGTTCCTGAATTTGCCTTTCTCAGAGAAGGATGGACTCAGCTCGAGCCTCATAATCAGTTTTTGCTTGCTTTAGATGCATGGCTTGATCCTTAGCTTCTTGAGAGAGTTTCGAAGCATGCTCATAAGCAGCATCCATTGCAGTTCGTTTTTCTTGAACCTTTCTGGCAGCAAATTCATCTTGGAGAAGGTACCCAGTCACGTTGTCTAGCAGAGATTGAAGATCGAACAAGATAGTGCTAACTGGCAAAGAGCAGGTAGCAAGGTTGACTTTTGTAAGTAACTCCTTCATAGTGTAGCAAGTTGTGCTATCCTGTTTGAGCATTTCGAACAAATCCACATCAAGAATTGTTCTCCTAATCTTGTTAAGAAGTACAATTCTATCATCTGTGGGCAACGGATGGCTAGTCGAACTTGTCCCAGCCCTAGCAGGTGGAATATCCATTTGAGCTAGCTTCGCCTTCATGTACCCAATAGGGTCATTTCGTCTCAGGAGAGCAAGCTCCTCTTCAGTCATTCGGGACAGAGATGGTTGAGGGAGTTCCACGCGCAGGGGATTCACATCCATTTCGACTTCCATGGGTTTATTGGTCGCGTCACCGTCACCTTCATTCGTTCCATGCTCATTGTCTTCTTCATTATCATCCAAATCCACTACTTCGATATCTTCGTTCTCGCTGCTATTTGCATCTGACTCTGTCCCAGCAGTCGAACCATCGTTGACATCTTCTTCCTCAGACCTTTCCTCTGCAGATTCTTCGTTTCTTTGATCAGAATCAGCTTTCTCTCCTTCAGTGTGAATGTCCTTTGGATCCTCTTGAAGGGTTTCAAGAGGGGACTTTTGAAGAGAAGTCTTTTGTAAAGTCTCTGCAGATTCATGAAGCGTTGTTTCATTTGTTTCTTTTAGAGGAGGAGAAGTACTCTGGTCATCTTGCTGCTCTGAAGCCCCAGCCAGAACCGCCATATTGGAGGACCCTTTGTTCTGCACAAGGTTGCTGGAATCCCCTTGAGGAGAAGAGTTGATCGAAGCAGCAGTTTTTGATGGTGAAGTCGAAGTGGTAAGAGCTGGATTCAAAATGTCCTGCAGAGGCAAAAGAATGTTGAGAGCATGCACCAAGGTAATGAATAATTATTTTGTCAAAGATTTAAAGTTCAATTTACCTGTGGACTCTCAGAAGAGAGGTTGCTAGCTATGCGTTCCAACATTACGTTGGAGGTCGAAGGTGGAATTTTGGATTTAGTTAAGGGAGCAGCATCCCTGGAATCGAGTCCAGAGACACTAGTTGGTACAGCACTTTTGGAAATTTCCTTCTTCTGCTTCTTTTTCGAAGTAGCTGGTAAATTCCCTCCAGCATTGGGGTCTTCCCCAGTAGTGTTTGTTTTTCTTTTCTTTGGAGTGGTTGGCGG